TAATGTAATATCCTTGTCTCAGTTACATGGCATTTATTCAGTGTATTTACACTTTTCTACGTATAATACATTATTATGTCCTTAAACACACCTTGTTGCAAATGTATTTTAATCCTATTTCACCTTAGGGGTATGTCTGTTACAGTATAGTACTGATCAAGCAATAAAGATGGATAATGGCAACATTTCATTTCAGTATATTCATTAAGATACATGATTTGTTAAGTGCCAGATAAAAAAAAAGAATAATTGTAACAATCCACAAACATTTAGAAAACATTATAACACCTATTAATATTAACAGATAATAACACAGTAATGGGAGGTGTTTGTTCAAAGCAGTGCTCTTGTGATTTAAGATGGTTCTGTGACATGCCCACCTTTGGTTTCCCTTCACAGGGTGCACAAGGACCTGCTGGCTCTTCAGGACCTGCTGGAGCCAGAGGAATGCCAGTATGTGTTTTTCAGTTTTGAGTTATTGATATAATAAAATCATTTGTTTCTGTTTCTGCACAATACATTCTAATGCAACAGAAAAAACTAAAAATGTTCCTAATTAATATGTTGTCCACTTGTTCTCAGGGACCTCAAGGACCCCGTGGTGACAAGGGTGAGTCTGGAGAGAACGGTGAGCGAGGACAGAAGGGACACAGAGGTTTCACTGGTCTGCAGGGTCTGCCCGGACCTCCGGTAAGCATCCACACTGAATTTAAATCCATCTGCTTTCAGACCTTTGTGTTCAGGATATCTGCATTGTATAGCCACAGCTAGATCATTCATTCTATTAATAAAAAATGATTTTAAAAGGCTTCGATTGAACATGATGAATGTTGCAGAAACCCTGATGTTTGAATTGTATCTGTTTAGGGTCAAAATGGAGACCAGGGAGCGACTGGAGTTAATGGACCTTCTGGACAAAGAGTGAGTACTGGAGCTGTGAAAATACTTCATGTTTTTTTAATTCCCCTTTGAATGGAAAGACTAATGAGATTTGTTTCTTGACATGCAGTGTCTTTAATGCATACAATCAACATCTCTGTGTGTGTATAGGGACCACCTGGACCTGTTGGACCAAGTGGAAAGGATGGTGGAAACGGTATGCCAGGACCCATCGGACCCCCTGGACCTCGTGGTCGCGGTGGAGAGACCGGCCCCTCTGTGAGTAATCACAAGAATAGATCTTCTTCTTACAATGTATCAGGCTAAAAATACTTAGCAAGAAACCATTTTTGTGATACTGTTACCCCTACCATACCCCTACCCTACAATATTGTGAATCATGTAATCTTGCAGCGCTGACCCCATCTCATACAGTATACATGCCATGTGATGTGACCTGCTAATATACATCACTTAGTCATCTTTATAAACAGATCAAGTTGTTAATACAGTTAAAAAAAACTTAATTAAAAATTAAAAAGGGGTTTTAAAAAGACTACTAAGATGTAGAAGGCGATCCAGTTGGCATCACTTGAGCTTGTTTGTGACAAAAGCAAACAGAACAGATTGCAGCCTTTTCTCCAAACATTGTGGTGATAGAAGAATAATCCACCATCTGTGAGCAAGACAAATAATAACCCTTTCCATCTTTGTCACTTTCCTCTCAGGGTCCCGCTGGTAACAACGGACCCCCCGGTCTTCCTGGCCCCCCCGGCCCTGGCATCGACATGTCTGCTTTCGCTGGTCTGGGCCAGACTGAAAAGTCCCCCGATCCTCTGAGGTACATGAGGGCCGACCAGGCTTCCGGAAGCCTCCGTACGCACGACGCCGAGGTCGACGCCACTCTTAAATCTCTCAACAACCAGATCGAGAACATTCGCAGCCCCGAGGGATCCAGGAAGAACCCGGCCCGCACCTGCAGAGACCTGAAGCTCTGCCACCCCAACTGGAAGAGCGGTGAGTGACAGAACCAGGGATTGGTCAAATTGGGATGAAAATGGCAGAAGTTAGGAGACATTTTAAATTGGCAACAGTTTGGAGAAGTCAAAATGTAGGTTCATTATAGTTTGTGTAGTCTGGGTGTGTTTGAATTGACTGATCCAGAGTCAATACATTTGTACGATAACATTTCTACTGTTATCAGCTTTTTAGCAAAGAGTAGGTTGAATATGGAGCTGATGTTTTTTCTTTCCTGTAGGCGAGTACTGGATCGATCCCAATCAGGGATGCACCATCGACGCCATCAAGGTGTTCTGCAACATGGAGACAGGAGAGTCCTGCGTCAAGTCCAAGCCCGACAGCATCCCACGCAAGAACTGGTGGTCCAGCAAGAGCAAGGACCGCAAACACGTCTGGTTCGGAGAGACCATGAATGGAGGATTCCACGTAAGTGCCACAAAGTTTTACATCTTCCTGCACATCAGCTGATCTCCAACTTCTCTCCCATTAGTACACAGTATTCACAGACTGACTATTGAGGTCAGCTTTTGATTAGAATTAAGGCTCAAGTCTTTTGAATGAAAAGAAGTCTGAGAAAGATGGATGTTCATTTTCCGCCTAACGAGAGCTGGGATGAGTTTATACCCCGTAGATGTATAGATAATGGGCACAGATAATAGTTTCCTTAAACACTAAAACATGGTTATTCTTACGTGTTCAAGTAATACAAAAATCACGCAACTGTGATGGAAACTTGTGAAGCAGTGGAGACAGGACTCAGAGAGACACGAGGAGAACACTGATGGTTTATTTGGAGCTTCGGCCGGAGAATTCACAAGACATGTGCTGTGCCACGAGTTGACACAATGGATGCCAAACCAATTCTGAAGATCTCTACCCCAGAGCCATGTATTTAGCTGGTTCTGAGAGAATAATCAACATGCTGCACACCAAGATAAAGCGCTATAACACCTCTATCAGCTGACGCCAACAGGCAGGAACAGGGAGACAAAACACTGAGAGCAGAGCAGCCACCGCTACAGGTGCCTGAGCTCAGTGAGGTCATTACAAACTGATAAACTGGGTCAAAGTTATGGGCCCAGGAAAATATTTCCCCCACAGCAACAGCCATAGTAACAGAGATATTAGCTGTGATTCTGACCTTCTCTTCCTTACCTGTGGCCCAATGCAGTTCAGCTACGGTGATGACAGCCTTGCAGTCAACACTGCTGCCATTCAGATGACCTTCCTGAGACTGCTGTCCACCGAGGCGTCTCAGAGCCTCACCTACCACTGTAAGAACAGCGTGGCCTACATGGACGCCTCCACAGGCAACCTGAAGAAGGCTTTGCTGCTGCAGGGCTCCAACGACGTGGAGATCAGAGCCGAGGGCAACAGCCGCTTCACTTACAGCGTGATGGAGGACGGCTGCACGGTAAGATGGGACACATTCAACATGCACGCACAGGACACACAGTATTTCATGTAAAAATGATGTGCATGTACTGAATCAAAAAAAATTATACGAATCGCTTTCCCTTCATGACAGATGGTAGGAATTGTCTCTCTTTCTCTCTGGTGTTCACTTGTGAGAATCTCATTTTGAAGAAGTCAAAGGTCTCTAACAGCCGCTGTGATTATTCTCTCCATACAGAAACACACAGGACAGTGGGGCAAGACAGTGATCGAGTACAGATCGCAGAAGACCTCTCGTCTGCCCATTGTAGACATTGCCCCCATGGATATTGGAGGATCAGACCAGGAGTTTGGAGTGGAAGTCGGTGCAGTCTGCTTCTTGTAAAGAACGAGGGAGCGATATGAAGAGAAAGAAGAAGTGGAAATTTGAACGGAATTAAAAAAGAAAAAGGAGCACACTTCAGAAAGGAGAGAAAAAGAAAAATCAAGACACTTTTTTTAAAATGGGACTTTTTTTCTAAGTAAAAAGTGCTTTTTTCCAAGTCGAACTCTCCGCAGGATATCTGCACTGAATGGCACTAGCAACTGTCATCTGTGATTCATCGTCCCCCCTCCTATGGACACTTTTAAAAAGCCCCCATTGCATCCTGGGTGAACAGCTGCCCCCCCCACACCACCTACCCCACCCCATGAACAAGAAAGAGGAAGTATGAGGAGAGAACCAGGGAACTAGAGAGAGACAAAATGTGTTGGTGTTATTTATTTATTGTTTAGGTTTGGGTCCCAGGTGTGGTAGGACTGAGGTTGTTGCTAAGTAATAAAAGCCCACCATTTAAAAAGAAAAACATATCCACCAACCTCTCCTACTTCCTCTCCTCTTTTCGAACCACCCAATCGCTCCTGTACCATATCCACTAAAGCATACATATCTCTTTGAAACCAAAAATGTAGCTACATAGAAAGTGCAGGTGTTCCTATTTCTACCACCAGTGTGTATCAGAAAGTTACTGTGTATTATAATAAAAGTCAATGGTGCTATTGTTGTAAAACAGTCTGTATTTTTTTAAACAACCATATGTAGCGACTTGTATATATGTATATATATGTATATGTGAGTATACATGTATATACAGTTCCTCAGAGAGATCATTGGTGATGAATGTCCCTGCATCACCCCTAAACAAACGTGATGACCTTTTACTATCAAGGCCAATTGGAGTTAAAAACTGAATTAAATGTACTTTTTTAGTTTTGTTTTAATATTTTAAAGCTACCTCACACTAAAAAAACTAATCATATTGAGGCCTTCTCCCCTTAAGCTTCGTATTCACACCCCTGTATTATCATTAATATGACTAATAGAAGCTTGGTCATGAAAGCCCAGTCTGCTGCCCCTACCCCCCTAATTTGTTGTGACCCTTGACCCCACCCCGCTCTACTTCCTCCCATCAGCCCCTCACACACAGCGTGCCCTCTGCCTCGGCCTGCACACACACACACACACACAGCTGAAGAGATTCTTAGTGTGTTTGACTTTGTTGCTCCGATCTACAGCCAGCGCTGAGGGCTCGCTTGTGTGAGGTTGTGTATATTTTTTATTATTAATAATAATAGCATTATTATTATATTATTATTATTATGATCATGACTTGTTTTTGTTACGTTTTAATTAATGTAAATTGGAAATAAAAGACAAAACCAAGTAACAGGCTGAAGTTGCTTTGTATTTATATCATGTTATGGTCCTTGAAATATCGGGGGCAGCGTTTTGACTCTTTCCAAAGAAAATTCCGTAAACATTTCAAAGTGACCTGCTGCCACTGGGTGTAGTGGTGGTGATGCCCTGATACATTTCCAGGGGGAGAAACACCTCAGATCTCAAGAAAAGGAGTGAAAGCAGTGATTTTGTTGACTGATTTGTGAAAAAGGTGGAAGTGGTGAAAGTTCATATCATGTCTCAATGTCAAATAGTCTTTCAATGACTTTTCACACATGGTAGAGTAGAAATAGGAAACACTGCAACCCATGATCAGCTCATTCTGTGAATTGATCATGTCTTTCTGTACTTTTCTTCATCCTCTTGCCTTTGTTTCAACCTACTGTAGCAATAAAAGGTAGAAGCATTCCTATGAACAAAGTAGAGCAACGTTTCTTTTATTGTTTGTATATCTTTTGTTGTTTTTTCCTAAAATCGCTTTTTGATAGATGATTTATTATGCAATGTAATGGTTGTCAATATCTAACTTTACGAGATCAAAACAAACAGGAGTGAACATTCACTGGGACAGAAAAACATCGGCAATAAATAAAAAATACAATACAGAAAAAAAATGCACGTTGACATGCTTGGTTCTTGAGTTTGGGGTTATCAGTATCTTTGTACTATTTATGAGCTTAAAAAAATAAGTAATGCATTTGGGCAAAGTGACATTTGACATATGAACATTAGATGTAGCATTTGTGACAGGCACAAAGCACTCAGGAGATATTCTGAGTGCGTAAAGTTACATTAACAGTGCTTCAGAAGTTTATCCACACTGAACAAATCAGTGTTAATTAAGTTAAACTGATACTAGATCTAATTCACAGTATGTTTAATCAACAACATTAACTTCTTCCAGTATTCTCTGTTGGTTACAAAGCACACACACCACATGTAGCACGTTACAGTACACAGGAAGTTGTCTCATACTAAGGTTTAGCCTCAGCTCCTATCCCAATTGCTAAATAATATGGGGCACAGTTATCTTTATTACATCTATAAACACTTAAAAGGTTGTAACTACACTTTAATCCGTGAATGATCAAAGACACATCATTGATAATTATGTGATGCTTTACTTAGGCACGTATCCCTTGTTTTAATATAAATAGCAAATCAAGTATAGAAAAACCTTTACTTAGCCATAGATTTGAAACATTTCAGAAAAAATGTGTACATAGTGTGTGGGTTAGAAATACCTTTTTTCTGCTTTAATATCCTGCTAATAATGTTGCAGCTCCTCAGAATTGACCCTGGAATTGTTTTGGGGGCTCTTTTGGTCCAGACTAAGAGTCATTTGACTCTATTTGTGTTGAAAAAGACCGCTTATCATATATTTACAAAACAACACTTACACATCAGGAATTGCATACATTTTAATATTGCAGGTGTTAAATGTACTAACTGAGAAGGCTATTCCATTTATTATTAAAGGGTTTTGTTTTTGTTTTTCTGTGGCTTGAAAAATAATCAATTATGATGAAGCCTTTGTGGAAAATAGGAGCCTGAACGATTTGTAAACAACAATCAGTGGAGAGAAGGACTGAAAAGCAGTACTCAAGAGATTAATTAAAGAAAAACTAAGGGCTTCTCGCAGGACAAACTGCCTCACTAATCTAATGTATGACAATCTATTTCTAAATCGGGCTGAAATGTCTTTGGACCGATCAGTGGCAAGCTGTGTTAGCTGGCCAGATATTTTAGAGCCGATGGCTGCAGCTCGGGGAGACACAACAGTGCACCCTCAGCTCTAATGGGAGAGTACATTTAGATCAGCAGTTATCCACTGGCACAGAAACCACTGGCTTCATCGTGACATCTATTGGGAAAGGCTTAAATAGCATCCTCGCAGAAATAACTTTTTTTAAATGACCCGTTACAATGCACAAAACTCCACATGAGAACGAAAACGCACAAATGAAACAGGCAATTAGATGAGGACACACATTTAAGTTTGTACGTCTCTCCTTTTCCACCTGATAAACACACTCCTGCTGATTAGTGGCTTTTAAGTGTTCAGTAAGGGTCAGTTGGTCAAAGACTGCTAATTACAGCCTAATGAAAGATAAAAGACCACATGCCATGTTGGGAGCAGAAAGGAGATGGAAAGAAGGAGTACAGAGGGAGAGAAGAAGTTCAAAGAATCTTTTTTTTTTCTAGTCTTTTTTCATCCTTTCAACTTTTGCTACTTATTTCTCTCAGTGCCCATGCTAGTCAAAAGAGCAAATATTTTCATTTCATTGATACAAATGCAACATGTAAAGAAATATCCAGAAGCATATAGTAGGAGGGCTCAGTTGTAACACATATAAAGAAATATTACAATCGCACACAGCATTTTGAAGCTTATCCGTTGCTCTCCATAAGAATGCCATGTTCATATTATTCCATTTAAATCACAGTAGTGAGCATGAGTTCAGAAACCAGTGCTAAGTGTGTCTGTCTCTGTGGGGGTCTTGCGTGGGCTGGGCAAACTCTTCAGGTACTCTAAATGCCTACGGGCTTCAGCTTGGTTCTGCCTCACATAGTACACTACATACACGATGACCATGAAGAACCAAACGAACATTGTCACCAGCATGGCTACATCAGTGGTTTTCCTCTGCAGACTGCAGAAATTCACCCCAGAATCCAACAGTTTGACCAGGGATTGACCTGCATGCTCGCCCTGGGACCCCGGGTCCTCCCACCTGCTTCCCTCACCCATCCCCCGCACAGAGCTCTCACACATGATCCCGTTGACCGTCTCGGGCTCCAGGTTCAGGGTCTCCATCAGCTCCTGGAGGGTGCAGTCACAGTGCCAGGGGTTGTGGAAGAGGCGCGTCTTTGCCCGGGTGGAGCCAAACTCCTCCCTGCTGGCCTGCCTCAGCTGGTTGTGAGAGAGGTCCAGCAGGCGCAGCTCGGGGCCCAGGTGCCGCAGGGCCCCTGAGGCCAGCGAGTCGATTCGGTTGTGGGACAGGTGCAGGTCCCGCAGGTGGAGCAGGTCCCTGAAGGCGGTCTCTGGGATGCTCCGGATGTAGTTGCGTTCCAGGTGGAGGGAGACCGTTTCTGGTGGGATGCCCTCTGGGATGTCCCGCAGCCCGGCGTCTGAGCACTGCACCGTGGCCGTGTCCCAGGCGCACTGGCAGCTGGCCGGACACTGGGGGGACACTTGGCCCCAGAGAGCCGAGAACAGGAGAGAGACGCACAGCCACGGATGAAGAGCCAGTCCTCTACCTCGTCTTCCTCCACTGATGCTGGTGCATCTCTCCTCACCCCAGCCTGTGCACATCGCCTCACCATAGCCCCCCGACACACTCCAGGTCCTGGTCACACACAGGCGCGCTAGGAGGATCTGACAGGTTGAGAGAGGAAAAAAAGGGTCATTTTGGAAAAGAGGACTCTCTCTCTCTCCCTCTGTGTGTCTCTTTACTAACACATACAATCAGTATGAACACTGACAGTGGTCATTATGGTGTTGAGAAAAAAGGTCAGTGGGTAAAGAGATAGACAGCAGAAATAGCTTAGCTGGTTTATCTGATAAATTCACACCTGCGTGGAGGGACCAGAAAGATACCAAAACATGTAAGAAGACAGGCATGTATTTGCATACAAAACGTGTTATTCACAGCAGTGATGATAAGTTAAGCACTTGTATTTCTACATTAAAGGGACATAAATCAACACAAAAGATTATCTGAAGTCCTTTTTCATGCTGCCTTTTGTGTGTCTCCAATTACAAACCAAAAGAAAAGCCTCACATTACACTCATCAATACACATTCATCTGGTTTATTCCTCAATTTATTTTCCCATGGTGCCATAGCCCTGTAATCATTTTCCATGAATGGGGGGATAGAGTGCATTATAGAGATGGAGGAGAGAACGGAGGTGGGATCGATAGTCCAAGATGCCTGCTACACTATTAACAGCAAAACATCAGTCCTGCCTGTGTCCCACAGATTAAATAAATGACAAAGCTGCATGGAAAAACATACAGCAGTGGTCTGATGAGCATCTGGTCAGTTATCAAAGTTTCAACAACAAAGAAAAAACGGTCTGGCTAGACTCAGTTGGAAAAACCACTGGAGAATAGGCTGCATTAGGTCTACATGTGAGATGTGTGTTTGGCTTTTTTATCTATATGGGCCTGAGTAATCCAGAAATGGTGTCATTTTATTCTAGTCCAGACAAGCACAGCTGTTTAATTGTTCTTGTTCCAAGACAAAAACATGACACACTCCTTGAATTTGATTATGAGACCATCCTCTCAAATGTCAAGCACTTACTTCTGCCTCCTTGTTTTTACAATGGTTAACCTTCATGTGTCTCTATTCTCCTGAATATAGAGCATAGTGGCCCATAGATTTGGTTGATATCTTATAGTGTGTGACTGATAGCGGCGTGATTAGTGTTTGTTAAGAGCAGAGGTGAATATTTAGTTCAGCAGCTTCGTGATTAACATGCTGAATGCAGATGCATGCAAATCCCTAATTACAAAAAATAATCATCGCAGCATAATTCTGAATGTGAATGCGAAAGGCTGAAAGACAAAGATTGGAGAGGGACTCCCAAAGCAAATTCAGAAGGCACGTGCTGTTGATTGCACAATCCAGTTATTACGATATCGCCCTTTTGGCTATTCAATGTAAAGGACATCATTCAGATTAGAAAAAAACTGAGACTTGCAGCCTTGACTTAAAAGCTTAAAAGACTAGTATAAAGTCTGATTTCCGGTGAGAAATATCATTTCGGCTATAGCCTATTAACTCATTATGGGTAAGTAGGTCACCTGGTAAATGGAAAGCTAGTGTAACCCTTATAACACATTGTTAAATGTACATGCAAGAAAAAGTGCATCGATCATTTGCAACTTTTTAATCATACAAAATAAGTAACGGGTGTAAAGAAAGCCTTCTTTCTGTTTCCCTCATCTGGTTGCTTTTTGACCGTTTTTGCAAATTAAAAAGCGAAATAAACTACTATAGCCTAAGCGAATGCAGCACAATGTCACAATATTAGGGATAGTTACTGATTCGACATAGATATTTAAAAAAGAAAACTTACCGGTAAAATAGTTCCTTGTGTAACTTTAGATCCATAAAACGTATAGTTTTTTCAGATTCTCCCGACCTCAGAATGCTCACAATCTTCTCATCAATTGTAGTTTAATGTTGGGGAAAAACTACGCGGGCAGGAGGAGTAGTGGATCCGCGGTGTGTCGCCTGCAGACGGCTTCATCTCTGCCTGTCGTAACGGTCGTAACACTGGGTAGTTATAGCAACAAAGATGTGGGGCATCCTCCTTCTCTCTCTTTCTGTGTGTGTGTGTGTGTGTGTGTGTGTGTGCGCGCGCGTGTGTGTGATACAGACTTGAGTCAAACATGTGAGGTGTGTAAGTCCTTATTACGACATCAGGCTCTCGGATTTCTAAGATCATGATTGGTTATAAATCTCCACATGAGATATTAACTTACCTACAGGTGTTATTAGAGTCTGACAATCTTCCTGCAATGTGATTGGATCCCAGGCAGGTAGTGAATATACAGACACTTACACTGTACAGTATCCTCAGTTGTTTTAACCTGAAATAAGAAAGGTAAAGATGCAATAGTGTAGGTGTCAGACTGTTTAGGACAATAGTATATTTCATTTGTAGTCTCACAGTAAAACAACTGAAAACAAGATTTAAGGTAAGGTGCTCTTCCTTCAATTCCTGATGTTATTTGTCCAGGATTAGTAATAGAGGTCACATAGAAATAGACCTATTTTATCACTGTGCAAAGACTGCTCATTACAGAGATGCACTGAATGTCACATGAAAAATGAAGAGTGGCATGAAGACGTAGGTAACGCCACATGCATATAACAACACATGAACGGTTGGGAACCTTGACAGCCACAAATGCTTACAGGGCTCATCATTTACATATAAATAACAAGAATGTGCCTACAGAAGCGACACATATTGTAGTAAGAGAAAATATTATTCATAGTGGTTTACTCATAGGACGAATGCCCTGCTGTCCCTTTTCTACTATAGGCCGAGAGATATCTGTGGATCTACACAAGAGCCCTCTGCCTCCACAACATGTCCTACTCCTTTCAAACCTGCTCAAAACAAGGACATTTCCCCTCCGGACAAATACAATAAGCACTGCTGCAAGTATAATTAGTAAATGTTTTGCTCTTGATGGGTGATTGTCTCCTAGGTTGCCAGAAACATCACATGCGGACAAGATGAGTTTTGTGGTTACTCAGATACAAAACAAAGGGGAGTGTAATGAGAAAGCACATGATGACAGAGAGAACCACTCAACAACAAACATCTGTTTTCAAGTCTCTAAGCTCAGAATGAATGGCATGATGAAAGCTAAAGAAAAACAGAAATGTGTCCAATATGTATTAAGGCTGTTGGTTATCTGTTTTGGGTGTTCGGGGAGGAAGCAGCTCTAAAAGATGGACAGGCCCAGGAGCAGTTTTCTGATTGATATGTTGACAATGTGAACTCTACTGGAAAACTTGACTCCAGTGAAGTGAAGCAGTTTGGCATCATCCGTTTGGTTTGGCCGCAGTCCTCCGAGGGGAAAACTGAATCACCCTAACACAAAATGTGTAAACAGATCGAGGCCGTGGAAAATATCTGACAGCTAGTGGCAGAAATCCGCTCTTCCAAGACACAGAGTGCAGGCATGGTTAAGATTTGTCTATTATTTGTGTCATGACGAGAAAAGAGGACAAACACCACAGACTGTGTCCTGGCTGCATGCCTGATGGAGAGATACAAAGCAGTGGAGCATTTCTTGTAACTATCCTGTCATTCTCTCTGGATTAGATCCACTAACAACAGGTCAGGCAGGGGGCAGGTGTTCTGCTGAGGCTATCAGGAGCCATTTTCCCACAGCGTGGCCGACTGGGAGTTGCCGGCGCTAGTCGCCTGAAACTGCTTACGACCGAGGACCAACACAAAGGTTCAGTCTGTTGCTGAGTAGTAAGAAACCACAACGCAGCAACCATCCCTGCTGACAAAACAAAGTATTAAAAAAATGTTGCTTTGTAAGTAATTTAGCTGACAGGAAAGGAGTTAGTGCTGGCAAGCCTGTTCAGTGCTGGAAGAGAAAAACAGAGCATAGGCGGAAACTAACAAAAATGAACACGAAATGCAGGAAAAGTATTTAATCGATAGGATTATTTAGTGATTCCCTGTGCACAGTTATCAGGCAAGTTGCATGAATAAGCCTGAGATTGCGGGTAAAATTGGTGGGAACTCAAATCAATACATATTAAGATACAAGCTGTTTTTTGTCCTCCTTTCTCTCAAAGTGTCTGCAATTACACTGCTGTAGTGAATACACCTTTGCTTTCTTTAAGCGAGGTGTAAGCTGGGAAAAAGGGTGATCTTCTTTCTCTCCCCAAAAACAACACTCACTGGTGGGCAGGGATTACAATACGAACCATGTGACTGCAAAACGCTGTCACAAATGTGTATGGATTGGATTGAGACCTTGGTTCAGGTCCAGCACAATAGAGAGCAGAGTAATAACACTAAAGTAAGTGTGTGTGTGTGTGTGTGTTTAAAAAATCAAGACCTTTCCAAAGCTATTAAAAATAGCCAATGTGTTATCTGTGTAAATGTCAACATGTTGTATTTATAGCAGGATTGACTCGGAGCATAAAGGTTATTTTCAATTAGATTAGATAAAGAATTAACAGTCGGCACCACTGAATACAAAAAAGCGAATGTCACAACTACTTTTCCACTGCTGTGGCATTTGCATAACAACGCTGATGGAAATAAAATGCACAGCAATAAAATTATAGAGCAATATTTTCTGTTGGGCAGCAGAAGGGCAGCCTTGTGGAGAATGCAATAAGGTATGAGTAACAGGGGGAACATCTGGAGTATTCATGAGAAAATTCAAGGTTCATCTGCTGACTTTATTACAGGGAAATCGACTGCACTGCCTCACAGTGCCGGTAAACTTGTCGATACTCCGGCTGCCACAAGAAGCACCTCTTCGTGGCCTTTGTACATTTCATTTCTCAGATTTAATCGAGCCTCATTATTGGCACTTTGATCTTGCAGCGAGCAGAAGAAGCCGCTGTATCTCTTTGTAGTGCTACAGTTAATGTCAGCCTGCTGGAAAAGAAAGGGGGGACCACTGTCTCTATAAATCGACCCTTAAAAAAGGTAAGGCTGTGGTATCACAGCCTTTGAAGATGCTTAGTGGTCCACCAGACTGCCTGCCTCGTATATATACACTTGATGGAGAAAATAAGTGAGATGTGAGCAGAAAAGTGCTTTATTGTTTGATTTACCCAAACTGTTTTCTAATACCAGAATGTAATCCAAAGAGTCTTTAATTGTAGAATTGACATCAAAACAGACTCACATTTATAAGAACCAAGACAAGAATAATACCGTTATTTTAGATTAGGATTCAGAGCGAGCCTACAGTGTGTAAGAATAAAAGGTATTTAGGGAACTGATCCAACTTTATTTGGCTTTCCATACCCTCTTCATCGTGGCAAAACAAAACAACATTAGCTAAGGCTGGGTCGAACAAGATTCAAGACAGCAAACTAACATTTTAATCCTTGCTATCCTCTCTAAAGACTGACCCCGAGAACAAAATGTGCTGATGGCTCTCCTCTCTGACCCTTCAGCTGCTACCATTAGCAGGGGACTTGGCGGCAGCCTGCAGGGTCCTGCGGGCCATCTCCAGGGCTCCTTCCTGGCTCTTGTTCCCGCCAATAAAGCCTCCAGCGTGGACGAAGACGCAGCCCTCGATCCCACTGAGCTTCGACAGGGCTTCATCACGAATGCCGCGCCACTCTTCCAGCAGGGACAGCCTGGGACAGGAAGACAGAAGGGAACATTGGCTTACAGAGAGACACTGTGTGGTTTGGCTGCTCACTTCCTGAGGACACTTTGGCAAAACACTGAGTGCTGTCATCGTCTGCCTAACCAGGAGAACAACATCAAAGAAACCACAATGATGCACTGATGAATGATGTCAACCAACATCAATTAAAGAACAGAATAAAACACCATTAACTTCTGCTAGTGAGTCACTTTTCAAGCAAACATGCCAATCCTTAACTGCTTCTCAAATTTGAGGATTCTCTTTTTTCTCACAAGATAGTGAACTGACATTTTTTTTTTTTGTTCGCTAAATTGGATAACACGATCAAGACATCATAGACGTTAGGAAATCATCACATACATTTAGCAAAATGCTCTGATATTTCTTTTTTTATGATTTGAAAAAAGAAACCGCAAAACTATCAGTAATGACATTTGATTCTCCCATTTTATCTTGGCTTCGCACAAACACTTGGGTTGCTCTGGTCTTTCTAGATGTTATGACAGGACCTACAGTGCACTGCTGTCATTCAAGGCACCTGCAGTTATCCTGACAAACACTGCACCACCACAAGCAGCCCGAGCAAATAGACCAATCAAATCAGCTTTATTCTTCTCTGGGAATGTGGAGAATCACATATTTGGTACCTTAGAAAGGCATCCTTATGATTGCAGGGGAGACGACAAGCAATCATACAAAGTGGAGAAAAGATTGGCTCTGCGAGGGTTCACAGGCTGACCTCCTCAAACTGTCTCCAGATGTAACGTCAAAGAAGGAGAATTCATAAAAAATGTAGAGCAGCTCATTTACTACCTGCTGTGTGCAGCACACGCCTCAGTCTAAAGTCTGGCATGTCATTTAAAACACATTACCAGTTGTCTTTTGTTTCTGTGCATGTGTGTCATGCTTGGCTTGACAGGGTTATTATCTCATTCCTTCAGACCTGGTCTGAAGCATATGTAGCAATTCTGAATTATCACTTCGTCATTTCAAAAACAGACTTTAACATTAACTTAAAGCATCAGATTTCCTTTTTTTTTAAAGTAATGGAAACCACAGGCCCTATTTTCATGTGTCACAAGTTTGATGAATTATGGAACTGTTTTGTGTAACTCTAACAGTCTAACTAAAACAGACATAAAGAGAGATGCTTGTCAAAAACAGATGGATCTTTAAAGGGTTTTCTATTGTCCTCCATTTTGAAGGTTTGATTTCTGGCCATTCTGTGAAACATCCTCTAAAAACTGTAATTGTCAGAGAGTAAGGAGCTTCAGAAAGGATCCATAACGGCAAATGATTGACATGTTTTCCAAGCCAACTCAATGCCATTATCTCAAGACCACATGATCGGGAAGGTTTCTTATTTCTCTAATTCCCCTCCTCGACTCCTATCCTCGAGACTTAGTCCCGCCCACAGGAGATGCGAGCGGAGGAGTCG